ACAGCTTTGGAGATAAGATCTTACTATCTAAGTAGTTTAGACTCTTGAACTCACTATAGAGCTGAGGCTGGGCTCAAACTCACAGCGATCCTCTGGCCTCACACCCTGAGTGCTGCTTACACAGGCATGTGCCACCACACCTAGCAAAATTCATTATTTTAATATTTTTTCCTACTAGACAGGTAAATTCATGCCAAGGATATATGATTGATATTCCACTGACCTTTCACAAGAGTAATATGCCCAAATTATGAATTTGTAAGGATTATATTTATTTTCTAATTTCTTTTTTTTTTTTTTTTTTTTTTTTTTTTTTTTTTTTTTTTTTGGTACCGGGGATCGAACTCGAGTCCTTGTGCTTGCAAGGCAGGCCACCGAACCACTGAGCTAAATCCCCAGCCCTCTAATTTCTTTTTTTTTAATTGTGAATGACAGGTCTTTGTTCTCTTTTTCCCCTTGTCCCTGCCCTCCCTTCATCCCCTTCTCCCCTCCCCTTTTACAAACACTTTATTTCCATCTTTTTATTTTCTCACATTTTTTATTTTCCCTTTTTACTCTTCCCCTACCCTTCCCACTTTTCCTACACCTTTAGCCCATTTCTTCCCATTTCACAATGTCAGTCATTTCATTAGGATCTTTTGTACTATTACAGTTTATTCACACAAGAGAAACTATTTGGTATTTACACGTGTGACTTATTTATTTCACTTAGGAGTATATATTATAATTTCTTTATAAATATCAGATTCCCCTTTGTGTATTAGAACAAAATTAAATATAGTTTTTCATTATCAGGATATTATTTGAAATAATGTTTTAACACATTCTTTGCTTAAGATTTGAATTGTAGCTATTTCTACATATAGTGGAATATTTGTTATTTAGTGCTCTGATATTGTGAAACCTGTTAATTGTAAATGTAACGTTTAAGGTACAGATGTTCCTATTACATAATCAAACAAAATATCACCTAAATGAAAAGAAAATAGGTGTACAAGTAAGTAGGGATACAACATGGAAAAGGTTGATCTATTCTTTTTTGTGGGGGGGCTTTGAGACAGGGTCTCACTATGTAGTTTAGTCTGACCTGAAACTCACTATGTAGCTCAGGCTGGTCTCGAACTCAGTGTAATCCTCCTGCCTCAGCCTCCCAAGTGCTGGGATTACAGACATGCACCACCACTCCTGGTTTGATCTACTCTTTATACCAACAACTGGAGTTCCTTTGTTTTGTTTTTATATTTGGTATATGGCAAAACAGTATCCTGAGAGCAGTCTTGCTCTCTCCACTGCCGAAGAAGAGCTCCATTTGGGGCAAGTTTATAGAGGGACCCAATGTTTCGGCAGTGGACAGAAACATGCTCCCATTCGACAGGGCAAAAGATACTTGAAAAAAAATTGCAAACAGTAACTAGTTTGCAAATATGGTATTTTAACCTGACTGATATTTGGATACAAAAATGGCTAAATTATAATACCTCAAATCACTAGAGCACAGAAGAATCATTCTGTTACACATAAATGAGAATAATTCAAAATGATACTATATACACTTAAAGTGTTTTAATTAAAATGTTCATATTTTATATGTCATTCACTCACATTGAGCATTTTTGTACATTTATTCCTTAATAATATGCCAAATATAACATTGCATATCACTGGGAATTTAGCATTAAATATCATCTACATTGTGTTCTAAGTATGAAAAAAAGTTAACCTATTTGTGCCTCCTTTCTTCTGCTACTAAGTAGGGATAATAAGGACCTAAGGGTTTTAATGAAATTAAATGAATTAATTTATTCTAGTAAGAAGTTTGGTACATGTTTGGTTCCTAATTAATGATAATTTCCATTTTTATCACTAAAAACTGGAAACAGTATTAATTGCAGCAATCTTCACAACAGATATGACTAGGCCATCACCATTTGAATATATGCAAATTTCAAATCATTTTATTTTTTAGTTAAATGTATCTGTTTGTTTGTTTATTTATTTTGGTGTTACTGGGGGATTGAAACAGGGTCTTTTTAACAGGCTACATTCTTATCCATCTACCTGTTTCTTAATTTTGCGACAAGGTCTTACTAAGTTGTCAAATTGTCCATGGTGGGCTCATACTGCTGTGGGATTACAGGTTAACATCCTGTCTTCTTTCTCCTTCCCCTCCCCCTCCCCCCTTCCTCTTTTTTTTTTTTTTTTTTTTTTTTTTTTTTTTTTTTAAACTTTTTTTTTTTTTTTTTTTTTTTTTTTTGCTATTGGAATAATTTTTATTATCCTTGTATCACCATCCTCTTGACCTCCCCTGCCGGGTCAGCCCACTGGCAGTGCATACGCAACACATTGACACCGTGGTTTACACGAGCGGAACTTACAAATTTCCAGTGTCTCGGTTCTATTGGCCCTTCTGCCCCTAGTTCCCAGGTTATCACCCTTGCACCTGTCTAGATACACTTCAGAATTTCTAGTTTCCTGACACACCTACATTCCACAATCACACGATGCACATGCTTGTGCACAAAAACACACAGGTATAACCAGTGAACATTGCTATATTGTCTTGAGCTTTCTCCATACTCAGGTGGGACAGTTTTGACAGACATGTTCCTCATCGTACCTATAAGTGTCCTCAGTGAGACCAGATTCCAGTAATCCATAGAGATAACTGTCTTGAAAACCCACCTTCTCAGATTTCCGTTCCTCTTGTCTTTTCTCTCAAGTAAACTGGTTCCACTGCTTTTTTGTATTGAATCCTGCTCCTCGGGAAACCATTTTTACAGTCTATGTGAGTGATTGCAAAGTCCAACCTGCTATTAAAATTCTAGTTGCTGTCAAGGGTTCCCATTACCCTGTTATTTCAATATGAAACCTTTATTTGAAGCTTGTTTAACTGCCTCCCCAGTCTGTCACCCATCCTGCTTCTTTTCAAAGGATGTAACCCTGCTAGAAATTTGCATGAAAAGGAATCTGACTGCATGTTTTTCATGCTCAGGAAGATAAATAAAGCAGGGCCAGCCTGTGGTTGCAGCCTGACAGAGCCAGTCAGCATGTGTGTGACATATTTAATGTTCTCCAACAGCACCCAGGTGCAGCTCCGTCTTCTTTGGGGAACATTTGAGGGTAACAGGTGTGTTTCTCTTTGTCTCTCCCCTGCAGTATGCTCGTCTGTCACTCCTTCCCTGCCTTGTGCACTGCTGCCCTTTCCATCCAAAGCCCCTCCAGGAATCGGGGAGAAGAGCTGGCTTCCTATGAGCTGTGTGGGCCTGTGGTTACCACTTACTGTGTTTATGTTGGACATTCCAGTGTCTTTTGTCTTTGTACACAACTGGTTGTGAAGAAACGAGCAACTGTTGTTGTTTTTTTTTTTCCTATTCTTAAGTAAAAATCAAAGATGAAAAGAACAACATCCAAAGCCCCTCCAGGAATCGGGGAGAAGAGCTGGCTTCCTATGAGCTGTGTGGGCCTGTGGTTACCACTTACTGTGTTTATGTTGGACATTCCAGTGTCTTTTGTCTTTGTACACAACTGGTTGTGAAGAAACGAGCAACTGTTGTTGTTTTTTTTTTTCCTATTCTTAAGTAAAAATCAAAGATGAAAAGAACAAAAAAGGGTATGAATGCTTATTATCCTCTCTCTGGAGATGGCTCCTGCCCACTTGTGTGTTGCCGTATAGAATCTGCTGGAACACAGCCCCTTAGAAGCACAGCAGTGAAATATTTAAAAATATATTCGGGGTGGCTAATAACTGAGAAGACAAAGTGGAGATGATTTTATTCTGAAACTCCTTTCAAAGCCTTTACTTCATAAACCTCTTAAAATTATTTTGACGAAAAGGATTATATACGTATTGTAATTTCAATTTGTTTATATATAAAATATGCATTCTTTTTATGAAAAAGGAAAGGGGTGTGCATGTGTGTGTGTGTGTGTGTGTGTTTGCTTAACCGTGTGAAGTCAGGAACGTGTGACTGGAAGTCAATATATTAATAACTGGAAGAAATCTATATAACATACTGAAAATGCTAGTGATCAGAGTAAGATCAGGGACAAGGGGTCATCTTATGCACTTGGATATATTCTCAGAGACTACCCACAATGCTGGACAAGGTCTGTTTCCCTGTTTCTTTTTCCACCTCTCCTCCTATCTTTCTGAGAGTTGGACATTGCCCCCTAACCCACAAGGTTCAAGAACAAGATTCTGCCTTCCTTTCCTTTTCACTTAGTCCTCCCAGTACATTATTTTGAATCTGCTTTCCCCTCTGCCTGTTACTCATTTACAAATACATTTTCAAGGTCCTCTTCTTGATGTATTCCATTTTTGCTTAAGGATTGTATTTGACCAGTCCATGTAATCTCATAGTGCATATTTCAGAGCATATATGCTGATCAATGTCATTATATGTGTGCATTATTTTTCTTTTTTAATGAAATTACAAATTTCAGTTACCTTATTTTGAGTGTCTAGAATAGTGTTTGCACATCATGTCCGATGAATACTTGATAAAGAAAACAAAAGCCAAAAACTTTGTTGTCCAAAATTTATTAGAATACTTCATAGTTACCACTGGTTATAACTAAATGTAATGAATTTTACTGAACTTATGTGTGAGTAAATCTAGAGTTAATATTTTTATTGGGAAAGTATATAAATTTTTCCCTTTTTCCTCCAACTGTATAAAATGCTAAATATAGGTAAAAGCACTTCATTTCTCTGGTATTTTTCAATATTTTTCATATATCAGGAAAAAATATTTATCACATAATATGAGGGAGTAAATAAATATACCTCTGGATGCATAAATTAAATATACATTAAAATGATTTAGTGTAAACTCACCATTCATTCACAGCTTCACTTGATGTTGGCTGAACAGTTTTAAGAGGTGGTAAATAACAGTCCAGAAAAGAGGCACATATTCCCTGGAGCTCAAAGATAACATCAAATAAACATGAAATGATGGTAAAAACCACGAAGGAGACATTGCAAAGATGACTTGGAGGGGGCATGAGGTTACAAATCGGAAAACATCAGAGGATCCTGGAACCCGAAATGTTAATCCTATTACTCATTAATGTCATAATGATAAACTCTTAGAGTTAGTTACCCATATTTACTGCTATGTACTTGGCACAAAAAGTTTCTGTGATTAAAAAAAATGCTACTCAATTAAAATTGTTAGTGGTATATCACATTTCCTATTATATATACTAAGAATAAATAGAAATTATTTAATCATAAAATCTCAAGGTTTGAGGGCCATAAAGGTCATCTCATCTAATCATCCTGTAAGACTTAAGACATATGTGCAAGTAAATCCAAGTTATATTAACATACCTGCCCTTTTATTTAAGAAATGGCATGCTTTTATTTGACAAGAAACTGTTTAACCTTTACCAGAAGGAGGAGATGGTTTTAGAAAAAAATATTTTTCATAAATTGAATTAATATTACTTCAGAATGAAAGATTAGTATTTAAAAGTAATATATAAAATGAAACATTTATCATTTACCTATTATGTTTGGGGAAATATTCAGCAGTTGGCTTCTCATCATGTGCATGTAAAAGTTCCCCTCGCTTTTTCCGTGGCATTTGCTTTCTAGTGATGGACGTCAGAGAGAGGCCAGAGCAGACCACAGCAAGGTGACATGGTATCAGTAGACTGGGGAGTTTAAAAAAAAAAACAACAAACAACACTAAATTTCTTTTACAGAGTTTGCTTTCATTTTATGATTCCTTAAGTAGACCGTAAGGATATATAAACTCGTGTAATGTCTGAAACTTATTCTGCCTCCTAATCCAACTCATTAAATGTTTTGATCTTCCTTAAGATATTAAGCATCTCACTCTCAGCTTTCAAAATTGGCAGCTTCTTAAATTACCAACCAAATGAGAGGAGCTATTAAACAGGTATTACTTCAGTATCTCTTCCCTTTGCTACTAGTCAGTTAATATGTTTTCAATGGAGAATTTCACTATTATATATAATCTCCATTTCTAATTAAAAGTTAAAGCTCAGAAGTCGAGTTGAAATTTTGGGTTAGGGGTAGGTTTGGCAGCCATCTTGGCTTCTTTAAGTTCCATCGCAGACATTTAGTTTCCCTATGGATTTGTTGTCTTTCTTGCAAGGTCAATTTTTTTAGGACTTACATTCTGCGATGTACAAGAAAATTAGGCAAACTCTGATGAAATCAGATGCTTGCATACTTCTTAATCCCGATGCATTCCATATACATTTTAAAAACTATATAAATACCGAGTTCCATAAAAATTAATTCTAATTCTTAACCTTCCTAATGTATCGAAAATTAATTAAGATTCATCATATCATTCAGTAATTTTCAAGAATAATTTTGAAATTATTTGAAAACTTCACTTGTAATGTCTTTTTCCATTTTAATAACACTGAAAACTCATGAAGTTACTTGGTTTTTATTGTAATTATATGATTATTTTTCAGTTATATATGTTTTCAATATGATTTAAACTTATATTAATAACCTAAATAATATTAGCTTTTTACTTTATAAAGCTGGCTTTTCAAAGGAATGACATATTTAGAAATGGGAAGAAAGGAGCTAAAGGTGTAGGGAAGGTGGGATGGGTAGGGGAAGGGTAAAAAGGGAAAAGAAAACAATGTGAGAAAATGAAAAGATGGAAATAAAGTGTTTGTAGATGGGGAGGGGAGAAGGGGGTGAAGGGAGGGCAGGGTGAAGGGGAAAAAATGAGAATCAAGACTTGTCATGTAGAGGTACAAGATCCCAACAATGAATGTAATTGTACTGTATCCCTAAAATGTACCAATAAACTCAATTAAAGCTGAAAAAAAAGTAAAACAAAAAAAGAATGACATATTTAATTTAGAACTTTTAAAATTGGAAAGAGAATATTGGCAGTGTGTATATTTCTATGAATTAGTGTGCTATAATCTAAGTTCTGAAGAGAGTATTAAATTTACTATATACAGACCTTATCTCAATATTTGATGAAGAAAGTAGAAATTTTGGTAGTTAACACATTAGTGTAACCCTCATGATCTATATTGATAATATAAACAACATTAAAGCAAATAATTTTCAGATAAAATATCATTATACAAATATATTTTGGTATCATCATATTTATTATAATATTTTAAATATAGTGAAGATATCAGGAACAGTTTTCAGTCTAATGAATTATAATTATTCCTCAGATACCCATTTTTAGTCATCCAAGAAAATTTATTAACAATAAAAGTTTTTTCCTTTAACAATATGAACTGCTCATTTTTTCACTTTGGAGGATCAATTACTATTCAGAACTAACTGAATTCCCAAGTTAATAATCGTCCATCACCCCTGTTGTTGCATGTTTTTACCCGACTTGATCTTTGCATTGCTTAACACATTTTACCCTTTCTTTAACCAAGTCACAAAATTTACATGTCTTCTGTTCTGTCTTTTATTTTTCTGTTAGGGATTGAATTTAGGATGTTGCTTCATTTTGAAATAATCTTGATAAAGCTTTGACTAGCTGACGACTTTGGCCCTACTTGGAAAAAATATACATGTGAATATTTAGAATACTGAAGTATTTAGACTTCTCTTGTAGTTATTCAAAGTAAAAAGAAAAAAATGTGTCTCTGTATCAGACAGTGTGCAACCAGAGATAAAGTAAGGAAAAGTGTATGTGTGTGGGGGGGAATTGGCTTATGCAATTCTAGGTCTGATCAAAACACTGGAAAGGGAAGGCCTTTGCTGGACTCCACAGGAAGGGGCAGGCCAATTTTCTTCTTCAAAATGCCTCAATCCTGCTGTTCAGACCTTCAAGTCTATTTAGTTATACTATAAGTAATTCTCTACATATAGTTATTTGGTAACTATAGATACTATAAATTTTGTTGGGATGAAAGTTGATAAAACAACTTCAGCAAGGTTTTTCATTAATACCAACTAAAGCCAAATGTTACCTTTATTTTTTTATTTTCTCAGAAATTATATGTCTACAAATACATAACATAGTATATATTATATAACTACCTCTATACATATATATATATATCTGTCTATGAGAATGAGTGAAAATATTGATCAAAACAAATGTACAATACCATTTATAGCAGCTATATTCAGAATATTTCAATAAAATAATTCATTCTTCTTCAACAGCTGAATCAATAAAAGAACCATAGCATAGTTAAATAATCAAATATGACACAGCAATAAAAAATAAGTACTATTTCTACACAGAGTTATATCAATGTCTCTCATAGGAATAACACTAAAGAAAGTAAGCCATACCCCAAAGGGTATTACATATTGAATGATTCTCTTCTATGAAATTCAAGAGCCAAAACTAATATAGGTGATAGAAGCCAGAACAGTGGTTATCCAAGTCATTAAATGTCAAAAAAACATTCTACAGCTTATCAAAGTACCAATTTATATTTCTTCAAGCTTTTACAGAGCAAGGGCTACATTACTTTTATTTTTTGTAAACAGGCAGAGTTGCAAAATATAGACCATTATGAGAATAGTATTGTGTATGTATGTATGGAAAATATGTGTAAGAAAGCAACAGTGTATAAACTGTGGAATTGTAAGGCCAATTTATTGCACCTTAAGCGTAGATGGAATTCACCCGGTGAGTTGCCACAGATTTGCAGATAAACCATACTTTGCAAATACAGACTTGGGAAAAGTACAGGAATTGCGGATGTTCCAAAGCCTGGCAGCAAGAACCATATAGCAGAACAGACACAGGAATGTCTGCCCACAGTCTACAGCACGGACACATCTTTTCTTCCCTGAGTGAGACTAGTTGTGAGAAACATCACATTGCCGTAGCAAAATAATTTATCTGGTTCACAGACAGTGGGAGCTGAGCTTTACAGTGGATCTGGACATTTCAGCTTTGGATTGTGTTCAGATTTTTTTCCAAGATCACACAGATACAGGAAATTAGAGTACAGTGTTTCCTGGAGAAGAGGTTTGACGTTTGCTATCTCAAAAATATCGAATATTAATACTATTTGGAAACAACATAAAATACAAAGGTGGAATTAAGTGGTCTGTTAAATTAATCTTTAGTGTCATTTTAGCTCTTAAAATGCAGATAGGTTGAGAAGAAAATGCAAGTTTTTGCATGGAGCTAAGTTAAATCATGTAGCAATTTTTCTTCAGATAATCACTATTGCTTTTCAAAACTGCAAAACTGTCTCCCACATTTAAAACACTTAACTGATTATAAATCATTGATGCAGAAATAGTTCACCGTTCATTGACATAACATTTGTTGATATTTGTAGTTTGATAAGTATATCATTACTTAATTTTGTTTCAATGTCTCTAAAACATATTTATACATAATATATAAAGCCACAGAGGAAATATTCATATCTCATTTATGAAGAATGAATATTAAATATAATAAGTAGGTAAAATTTAAGAAAGCATTGTATAGATATATGCCTAATCCAAATAATTAAAATTTAAGTAAGCATAGAATTTCATTAATATAAATCAGCTGTGGTACTAATATACAATCTCCTTAAACTTGAGTGTGCTACTATCTAAATAAAAATTTGCCAGTTTATTTTATTATAAGAGGATGTGATTACAGCCAAAGGTAATCTTGAAAACTCCATTAATACTACTGAGAAAAAAATGCTAAAAAATGGAACTATGCTAACCAAGATAGCTGAAAAAAAAGTTTTATCTTATTGAAGTAAAAAACTAATTCTTTGTTTACAATGCCATGTTGTCTTGAATATTTTCTAGTTAATACTTGTTTTAGTCTGTTACCCAAACAGACTGCAACCCATGCTACAACAAAATAACACAAATGAGGTGATTTATAAAGAGTGCTTTAGTTCTCACACTTCTGTATTTTGAGAAGTCCAAATTTAAGGCCCTAGCAGATTCACTATAAGGCTATGCCCATTGTGTAGTTCTTCAAAATCATCTTCTTTCTCTTTATGTGGGGAAGGGTAGGTAGCTTTTTGAGACCTCTTTTAAGGGATATTATTCCCATTTATGACAGCTGCACCTTAATAACCTTTTAAAATTCTTGCTGCTAACATCAGTGACTAGGTTTCAACACATGAATTCTAGAGAGGATGCAAATATTCAGACTGTAAAGTATTCAGCAATGCTTCATACCAAAATTTAACTATCTCCCTATATGTAAGTGTACCCTTTAACAATATAAAAGAAAAAGTATTGGACTGGAGATTTAGCTCAGTGTTTGAGGCGCCTGCCTTGCAAGAACAAAGGTTCGAGTTCAATCCCTGGTACCAAAAAACAACAACAACATCAACAACAAAAAAACCCCAAAGAAACCATTTTTCCTAGAAAAAATAAATAAAAGGGATGTTATCAATATCTTTTAAGAGAAAAAAAGAAAGGTAATTTACTCTTTTGTGCCACTTAAGTATATAGTTTAGGAATACAAAAGAGATATGAAAAAATGATCATTTTTCCCTTGCCTGTAATTTACCACAAATTAGGCGTAATTTGCCCAAAACTTTAGGTAGAGCTTTATTGTTCTCAAAAATTATAAATGAATAAATTAATGAAAATACACTAAAACTAATCATAACCTGCTATTAAGGCAGTTTAAAATACACAGTGCCCTGCTAGCTCTCATGGGCACCAACATATTTTCAGTTGTTCAGGGTAGGAGATTTAGTTGGATTGCTAACTGAAGACATGAATGTAGGTCATATAATTTGCCACCGAATTAACTAAATAAATACAAATGATCGTACTATTATTTTACATATTAACAAGTCAGCACCTTGTTTGTGAGGGTTTGTACTTTAAAATAATGTTTTGTTTTCACTTTGGGGGATTTTTTTCACAAATGTAAGAATTAATAATATTTTCAAAATATATTTTTCCCATCTACACTTTTTATCTTTTTTAAAATAATAAAATTTAGATTCGAAGGTTAAACTTTTAGTAAATATTTAAATAATATTTTTATTTTGATACACAGAAAATTGATTTAAGCACAACTCTTAAAACAGGGTATTCAGCACTACATACGTGCATACAGTAGACGCCAGTCATTTCATATGCAATGCATATGTATATACACAATTCAATCTGCGTATATGCCACGCAATGTATGTACAATAGAAGAGAATTACATTTAAAAGTTATTCTGAACCACAGCCAGTCTGCACCGCACACTTATCACAAGCACATTATTTCTACCAAAAGGTGATTGTGTCAATTCTATTGTGAGAGAATAACATGCTCCTTTGGAATTTTTATATTTGTTTAGAGTGACAAAATGTAAACATGAGAATACTTGAAAAGAGCCAGGAATTTTGAAATTTAAATGTTTTAGTAGCCGTGGCATAGCTGGAATTTCTGCTGTTCGAGGCATCCTTCAATTTGCTGCCCTCCAACATATCCAAATGTATTAACTTATTTAAGCGTTGCCCAAAATCGTGCTGCCTGCCTGTCCACTCCCTGCTATCAGGTAAACAATATTTTCACTCCACCTAATTAAAATTTATGTGCTATTTTTTTTTCTGGAGTAAATTGATTCTCAAAGATGGATAGCATTGAATATTGTTTTTGTAAGAGTCTTTTGAATTTTATTTTCTGCACTTTGAACATTAGAAACTTCTAAAAACTATGAATCTGAGTTTAGTTTCCATCATGATATTATTATAACAATATCAATGTGCTTTTTGTACCTTTAACTGATATATGTATATTAAAATCTCATATTTCAGGAGCAACAATTCTCTTATTTTGACACAATACTTTTAGTATTCATATGAAAATTTAATGTCATGACTTTTTAAAAATCTAACAGTCATTTTACGAGAATTTGACATTACTAGTTAAGTCACTCAACATCAAAATCTTCATTTTACAGGTCTGATTTTTGAAATGGTTTAAGACATTACAAATTACCAGATAAATATGAGAAGAAATGAAAATACTACTCAAGTGCATTATATGACAGAAAATAAGACAAATATACCTAAAGAGTTGTCAACTGATTTTTAAAGCAGCATACAAAATTTTGTACGGATGTCAAATATATTGCATGAATAGATTTTCCTTGTGACTTTATGAAACTGAAGATTCAAGTAAAATTATAAAATGTGCAGTGCATTTAATTTGCACTATAAATTTGCCACATGTTCCTGGCTAAGTGTACTATTCTTTATTATTTTAATTTTTCATCTTTAAAATACCTGATTTAATGAAAATTCATCGCAATAGACACTGGGATGTGACAGCACTTTTTTTAAATTTATTTTTTATATTTAAAAATGATAACAGTAATAAAATTATTCACACATATTTTTAATATTTTTGTTCATTTGCATTGGGGTTTTCTCCTTTCCCTTTCTATATGCATCAATATTTAATAAATGAAAAAACAAAGAGGTCATAGAATTCTAATCATATATATTTTTTCCTCTTAAAAAATCTTATAGAAAATGCTTTGGCAAGTAATTCTCATTTTATAACCTACAATTGCTAAATCCTATTTTGATGATGCCTCAAGAAGCTGGAGGTGGAATATTTTTGACACTTTATTCATGTACCGAGATGGATAAAATACACGTTTTTCCAAACGTGGTGCTAGAAGAAGCATCGTGGTTCAGATCTCAGTGAATAAAAGTGATGATGGTAAAAGCCAACGATAAGGATGAGCATAAATATGACCAAAGAACCCTGGCCATTTTCTGGGATGTTTAGGACGAAGCAGCCCATGAAGTACATTCTTTACATGTTCAACTCTTTAAATTCTCTGAACCGCAATGTAGACGACTTACGTATAGCTCCAAAATAGCAAGTGGAGACTCAGAAAGGTTAGATGATGTGAAATAAAGCACAAACTGTAAAATGGCAGACACAACTGGAAATACAGTTATTGTAACTCACTGGTTTTGGGTTATTTTCCCTGAAATGCACTTCCCTGATGTGCATGATTTAACAATAAAATAAAACACAGAATATAAATTATGAGACTCATTATGAATATTCATGTGGCAGTGCTCAACCCAAAGAAAAGTTATATCTTACAAAATAACAAAATTTATCAATGTTGAGTATAGGACTAAATATTAGAGTTTTGCAAGCACATGGTAAACAAATCGCATCTGTGTATTTTTTATCTCATTATTAGTTGGTTTCCTACTTGAAAGTTCCAAAATTTTTAACATTTCCAACCTTTTCTGCAATCACCAGCTAACCTTCTAAACATCTCTTACCCATCTCTTCCTCTTGAAGAGCTGTTTATTTTTTTGTTTGTTTGTTTGAATGGTCTCAGTGTTCCTCTCTTGCTACTTTAAACCCCTTTCCTGTATATTTAGTTTTAGAATATACAATAAAAGAACAAAAGAGAAGCTCAATGAACTTTAAATATGAAATCAACCTTGGTATAAACGTTTATGATTTGTTCTGCAGTCGTTTGGCTGTTTGACAGCCTGTCCTGGGACAGTCTTGGTTTCTACGTGTTATGTAAAGTGGTTCTTATTTGGTGAGGTCGGTGGCCGCCCCTTCTTCAGGTCCTCATACCATCTCTCTGTCCGCTTGCTCTCCCACTCGAGTGTCCATCAGTGTTTCTCATGCCCTCACATACACCAACCAGTCCGATGTCTTCACAACGCACAGGTTCATTATGATCTCATCTTTGCCTTCTCCAGACGGGTCTCCCGCAGGTTTGCTAATGGCTTTCTCCTTCACATTGGCGTATCTCTGTTAAAAATAAAACCTCCCAGAGAGGACCTCTGTGGCAATCGTTTTATAATTGCCCTCATCTCTATGGCTTGCTGACTACTTATTCGGCTTTATTTCTTTCCAGCTTTTATTACTACATTAATATTACTTTTATTTTTACAACTGATTTTTAGCTTCCCTTGTTACAATATAAGCCAATTATATTCGGGAACGTATTTGTTTTGAAACTCATTGTATTTCAATGACCTCAATAAGTGATTCAGGTAGATAGAAAGATTTAACAAAAACTTTTAAGTGTGTAATAAGGCAAAAAGTCACTAATTTCTAAGTTTTCTACTAATTAAGTATCCAAAGAGCATATTTCCAAGATTACTTCAAGATCTGGATTTTAATACTGTCTAAATTTACTTCTACTTTCATTTGTTGTCACATAACAAACTTAATGTTTGGGTTTTAATATAAATAATATCCCTTAAATATTATGTCTCTTGAATTTTTGAAAATTTTAAAATTATGAAATGAATACCTTTGAAAAAGATAAACATTGCATAACGCAACCACTCAGAATAGTATAGGAATTATGTCTTATTGCTACAGTATTTAAAAAAAAAAACTAAATGGTAAAGCTTCTCAAATATCAACAAAATACTTTTTTTAGGTTAGTCTAAAAAACTGTAAGCTGAGGAAGGACCCAAGGACCCCAGAGGGGGTTTTTTTCAGCTGCCTGCCTACCTGCCTGTCTGCGATCACCCAGCGGCGTGCGCGTGAGCTCCCGGCCTGCGCGACAACAGACCCAGGAAGGACCCAAGGACCCCAGAGGGGGTTTTTTTCAGCTGCCTGCCTACCTGCCTGTCTGCGATCACCCGGCGGCGTGCGCGTGAGCTCCCGGCCTGCGCG